CACCTAATGGTTGAAAGGGCATCACAAATCCTTTGCTTTCTGAGACATTGAATAGTGGAGAGGATGATATATGGACCTCTACTCAATCATCTAAAAGCTAGAATGATTATTGGGTCAAGCACCTAATGGTCTAAAGGGTATTGAAAACTCTTGCTTTCAAATTTTTATGGCTGCTTCTCAGTTATCACTAGTTAAGATAGTCATGTGATGGAGAAATATCTATGATTGAAAGGGAGTTGCTACATCTTACTTTCCTAAGCAGGGAATGAATTTTCTAGTGTGTAATGTTGTTTGACATTTCAAGAAAATTACTCTGAAAAACTTTTGCCAAGTCAGAGAAATCCACAGCATCATGGAAGGTTTTATCTCATGGCCCCCACAAAAGGTGCGACTCAACGCAAGCTAGATTTCATCGAAATTTGTGGATGAAAAGTCAGTACTACAACTGACAAGGGAGTCCAACCTTTCTTGAATGTGTTTTGGAGTAAGATAGTAACAGCACAAATTTCTAATCATGGTAAAGAAAACTTTTAGTTCATAAGTTTTAATTTGTATGAATTTTTTGCTGTGATTATTTATTTTCTGAAGCCTGAAATAAACATTTACCCTAGATGACTACCACTACTAACAAGAGTAGCATCAACTAACAGCAAGAATGTTGTTAATCATCCATGCATGAGCTGAAGATTATCTGTAATATTACTAGATTACTTGACAAAGTGGAATAGCATACTATGTATATGTAAAGATGTAAACAGATGTGTATGTGATGAGCTAAAAACATTACATGGAGTCCTTTCTGGGTGTTTAAAGTGAATTGAAACAAGTGAAGAAATCACACATAGTGAATTGTAATAAATCAAGAGAAAAATATAAACCAGAAAAAAAAAAGATCTTATAACAAAGTTTTGAGCTCAACATCAATATAAATATAAAGTTAACTGTGGTGAATATTCTGAAGAGTATTATTTGAAAATATAATATACCTATGATTTTCATTAATGCTGAATGAATGCCTTGATTTCAACATTAAGAAATGTTTAAATTTAGCATGTTTATAGAATTTACCATGAAAGAGACATTTGTAGCAAAGAGACTAACACTATGACAAGAGAGAGAAAACAGTTTCACCTGGAATTTTTGAAAGCATTGTTTTACTTGGTGATCCTGACACAATGCCAACTGGTGTTTTTCATGAGCATAGTGCCAGAATGATTTTTCTTAACTTGATTAAATTAAAATATTTATGAGTAAATGAAATTGTCAGTAGTGCATGATATTCATGAGTAATGGCTTAAATATCACAAATAGTATTCATACATGTGGTGTATGCAGTGTTTTATTTGGTTGTGGTAGAAATATTTTCGATCGTGCGACTGAAATATTTTTAATAAGCAAACAGTCTAACAGAATGTTTATTCTAATGTTGTTACATGACAAAATATAGTTGTAAAGCATGAAAGTGCCGTTTGTATGTATAATGGAATAAAGACAGTCTCCTGCCAAAACCATTGTACATTTTGTACAAGAAAGCTCCTGAGGAAGACATCGGCAAAAGCTAACAGTAGAAGGTGAGGTAAATGAGATTACATAAATTAGCCCAACTGTGTTTTTACCCCTATTAGACTGCCTATTAGAACTGGGCTCTTTATCTATAGCAACCAGATGATGGACAATCAATGAGGCCAGGTCAGAGTAGGTAGATGTGCATACACCTTGGTCCTGTAAGGGCTACCATGTGTAGCATGTGAAGAGGTGGTTGGTCAGACTTATATCCATAGGAGCTAAAGGCATAGGAATCCCTTTGACACACATTCTACAGATGACCATGGGTGTGAGTACGCAATGTGACTGTTAACTTGCTGTTTGACCAGCACCTATACACCCCATGTAACTGGATGTTACAAGCCCTCACTTACTTATGCACTTGGCTGAACCTTTAACCAGTTGGAACTAGCATAACTTTTCCTATTGAACTTCAGACTTTTGGTATACCAGCTCAAAAAGCCAACTATAATCACATTTCCTGGTTTGAGATCATACCTGAATTCTACGTAATTTCTGTTTAAATCTTCTTTGAGTAAGTACAATAAATTCAACTTTGAGCTATGAAGCCTCACAGCTGCTTCAGGATGCCCAGGATTTTCTTTACAGAGAATGGTGTGAAGTCATCAAGGAGGCAGGGAGTGCTGAATTAATGTTTACCACCAATGAGCCCATGGATGAAGACGCTGTGGAGAGATAGACACAACTAGGTGACAGAGATGGAACAAAAAGAAGATCTTACCTTGAAGTTTGAGTGCATTTTCTTCATTCATTTGAAGCAATTTCCACTAGGCAATTGGAAGAAGACCTGTGCTATGGAAGATATTGATCTTGTGGAGAAGAAGTTAAAGACTATCTTAGTAGAACCAACTATATTGTTGGCTGCATGGGTATATTTGCTGTTTTGTTTTATTTGTCAGTAATAAAGATTGTGATTTATTTTTGTCAATTTTGTCAAGTGTTTTTATTATTCACTTTTACAGGAACTCATTTTAAGTTGTCAACTACTGAATAATCCTCTTATTTCTTGTATGAATCTGCTGTTTTTGCGGAACAAAATTTATACTTGTAGGGAAATGGGTTTGACCTAAAATACCACACACGGATAATGTCCAATAAAAACCTGAGAATGTTATTTATAGTAATTTATAAGTTATATTCATTGATTTAACGTAGATGTTTGCTAAAAGGTGCATGACATGGAGATCAAGTTCAAAAGAGTAGATCTAGAATACTGAGAAGGTTTATGATGATGCCAAAAATTTAGTAACTTCAGCTAATACCTGGAAATGGGTACATTAGCTACAAATACAAGTTAGCAGTTAGTTGGTTGAGTGAAGTATTCAATGTATGTGATGGTTGAGTAGGTGATTGATCCAGTAATGGTAATCAGTCAGTTAGTCACTATTTGTTATCAATCAACAAAATTTCTGTTCAATTTTGTTAGTGTATTATGCATACATTAATTTCAGAAATTAGGTTGAAAAGTTTGTTTGTGAACTTAAGCCTACACTGGTGTCATATTTCCCTCACTAAAACAATTCTTAAAGAAACTTCTATTTATCTTGTCTGAGAAAGAAAAGGTGCTTGATTTAAAATTTTATATCTTAGATTAATGATACAGACTAGTATTAAGAGTTTTATTGGTATTTTTGATAATTGTTTTTAGAAAGTTGCATTATTTAATTTCCATATGAAGAGAGATAATGGTGAAGGGTTGTGAGAAAATAATAATGTGAAGAGTAAATAATATATGCAGTTTTTAACAAGTAATATTAATTTTGAAAGAAATATCTAAGGCTCTAGCTGTGTGCCACATTAGTTAAGCTTTACTTTTCATGGACATTCACAGACTACATGTTACATAGAGATTATACAAGAAGGAGATTATCTATTGAGGAAACATCTCGGAACAGGTGTTGTTTCAAACTACATGTTACAATTGTACTAACTTTTAGAAAATAAGGTTTCTCATAGAATAAGCTAAAGAACAAAATACCATTGTTCCCTTTGACTATTCAAGAGCATCCTTAAATAAGTGGTGTTGCAAAATGAATCACACTTTTTTTTTAATGACGAACTTGGTAGGACTGTGAATATCATAACTCATGAGAAAACATCATTTCAACATACTCTTGGGTATTTGATTCTTCGATTTTCATTTTTTTGTGAAAATGTTTGAATCATGGTGCTCACTAGAACTCAGGTTAATGTCGCATGTGCTGCCTTTGGGATGGCTCAGAAACTAGTTGCAGACATGCTCTAAGAATTCAAGTCTTCCAATCGACACATTACAATGCCAGTTTTGAAAATTCCGACTAATGCCTCAAACTTATTTTACTTGGTTAAGATCTCGGAGAAAAGTGTGATTTATTTTGCAATACCCCTTAAGTACTGTTTACTACAAAATGGTCATAAACACATTTTAGTCCACGGCTCTCTATTTAAAGAAGAACAGCAGCTCTGTAGAAAATATACTATGAGAAAGAAAATAATCCTAGATCTCCAACATTATATTTTTGATTTTGGTAGCTTTAGATGATCAAAAATTGTAAATCAGAAAGTGTAATTAGTTGAATTTTACAGTTTTGGCACCAGTAAATTCCAACATTCACTGTTATCAAACTATTTGAGCTAGAAATAAGCAATAATATATGGTAACAAGTTTTATCTATGCAGTTGGGAAGTTTAAATATTTCTACTCCCTAAATAAAAACTGTTGATAAGCAAAAAAGAAATTTATGCTTTTACTTATTTTTATTCTAAACAAGTGTCAATAAAATTGATATCAGAAAAAATTCTAAATCTAAATATTTCAGTTACGGTTTTGTGTAGGTGATTTGAGGGGGGAATGTCAGACAAAATATATTATTTCTGTTAGTGCACCAAAGTGAGAGAGAGAAGTTGTTAGTTATAATGTATGCTCAGAATGAATAGGTTGTTAATTGTAGTGCATAGTCAGAAAGAGTGATTGATCTTTTGATACCTGCCTGAATAATGAGAATTTGTAATTGTGTATGTTGGTTTAAAGAAAAATATTTGATTTTATTGAATTAAGTTTTATTATACATTTCATGAGAAAGGGGTATTATTAATTGTATATGTGTCTGTATTTAGGGAGAAATATTAGGGGTTTTAGAAGAAAAAATAGTTTCTTTGTTAAATGCATGAGAGATCTGCAGTTGTATAAAATGTATGAATTGAGAGGGTTAAGTTATGTTGCATGCTAAAATTAAAAGAAAGATTTTTTTACTTGCATTATAACATGGCTAACTAAAAAAGATTACAAAATGTAAGATGTATTTTAATTGGCACACACAACTAGGTTTTATATTCTTTTTATGAGTTTCATCCAACTTTACTAAAGCTTAGTAACCAAACTATTGTGTGAATTACTAATTTTTATTCTACTTCATCATATGTCATACATGTTGTTTACACTTGATTTTCATTAGAGACAGGTATGCACAAGTAACATGCAGGATAGTTGCTGATAAATTACAACAGGAACAGAGACTTTCAATTTTACCCTACTGTTTGTCAGCCTGTGCTGAAGGATGGGATCATATGCTTCTGAGTGCTCTGGATCAAGGTAAGCATCTCTTTTGCTTGTAAAAACAGTGAGTTGATTATAGATTCAGGTCTTTTGGTTTGGTTTCATAGCATTACACTGTAAAAAAAGTATTTTAGATTTATTTTCTTTCTTTCATTAGGCTCTGATGAGAATGTGTTATTCGTAGACTTTTCTTCAGGGATTTTCCTGTTAGAACAAATTTAGATTTATTAGATTTTTTAATGCTTTAGATACAAGAGCACATTCTGGTTAATTGAACTTGTGGTTCTGCTGTAGAACATATTCAAGCTCATGTGTTAAATTGTTATGGTTTTCCATGGTTGAATACTTTCAGGTGTTCCATAGAGCTTATTTGTTATACATGTTTAGTATGATCAGGGTCTGATTAAGGTGGGGCTATTGGAGCTGTAGCCTCAGCCTTGGGCTCAAAAAAGGTCATTGAAGAGGTTTAGTTGTTGTTTTTATCTTAGTCTTTAGTCATGATCATAATAGGCTCTGTAGAAAAATTTAGCCCCAAGCTCGTCTGCCCCTTAATCTGCCCCTGACTATGATGTTCCAGACCTTTACTGCATTTAGAACAGTTTCCTCTATTCTCATTTGTATTTAAGCTGATAGACATGATTATTCACTATTGACTATCATTACAATTTTTATTGTAACTAACTTCTGTGAAGGTTAGTGAGTCTGATCTTAAACTATCCATGGACCCTTTGCTATATGTGAATGATATCATCCAATATCACATTTAAAAGACCAATGGCTTTTCGTAAACATAGACTTTACATTGCAGATGATGGTGATGTATTGGATTTGCTTGGAGTGTGAAGACCATGGCTGTCCTAAACACTCTGCTGTGCAAGCTTTTCTGCTTCCATGAAAAACATTGAAGGCTCTTTTTCTTTAAATGTTGTGTTCTTTGGATAGACTTTTTTTAACATTATGGCTATGTGAATATTCTTACTTGGAAAAGGTTATGACAAGTTCCTCCACCCATAAGATTGTCTTTGGTAGCATTGCACCTTTGAATGGTCAGAAATTTGTAGTGAACCAACTGTATAGGTGTAAATACCAAACATGTCATCATTCGTGGTGCCACAGCTTGCACCTGCAGCAACACACCACTGAACTGGAATATGCAAATCATTCTTATAAAGTGTAGTCACTCTCTGTAGTATTTCTTGTTTCAAAACCTTCAAGTTTATGAGCTTTGTTTTCAGAAACTACTTATCTTTATTACCTCACATGAGCTGCTATGTAATTTCCTGTGCATGCCGCAAGTCTTGAACAAAGCTCCCATTTCTACATGTAGACTGTCTACATTTATTGTGCAAGCTTATAATAGAATCATCATTAAACTATATCCTTCCATCATGACACATTCTCCATGCACAGTAATCCTGTGAGCACTAGCATATGAACATGGGCTTATTCTTTTCTCGGCACCGCTTGTCTTCCAATGTGGTTTTTTTTCATAAGATTTACTAAAATTTTTGCATTTCTTGTTTTAACCTGCTTGCCTATGAGATAATGGACAGTTGAGCATTCTTATATTCTGCCCACCTTAGTGACACTAAAGCGCTAAGCAAAAGATTCTGATGGTAACATCTTTTGCTATACTACCTCTATTTGATGGAGAGTATCCCCTACTTGAAATGGATTCAGTCTCCCACTGAATGCTGCCTCACTAGGCTACCCTTCACCTTGATAATGTCACACTTCATGGGCTTTCTCTTTCTGACACTGTTTTTAGAAAGGCTCTCATCTGTGTAATTTATCTGCACTGGCCCATTCAAAATCTTCATTATTGGATTCTAGCTCTTTATAGTGCAAAGAGTTGAGTAGCATATCTGAATTGAACATTTTCTTACCCTAGATATTTACTTGAGATACACCTCTCAGCAACACCTCCTACCCTTTCTCCCCATTTCTGATCCATTTAGTTTGCCTCTTCAAGAATGAGCCTGTATTCACACATTAGAGCTCATGGGGATTAGTGTGCTTGGAGGATGTGTCACCCTCCTACTGAAGAAGTGGTATAGTTTAATGATGATTACATCATACACTGATGCAATACACATTGACATGTATAGGGTTGGGAGCTTTGTTTAAGGTTTGCAGCATGTACAGGAAATTACATGGCAATGTGCACAATTTAATAGCTCTTTATGGTGCAAAGAGATATCTAAGTGAAATACATTTTCAGATAGAAATATTTTAACTTATATTTTTCCCTGTTTGAAACATAGATTTATAGTTCAGTTTTCTAGACTGAATGTTTTTTTATTTTTCACAGTTAGAACACACTGTTACAAGACAGATGTCTTGGCTGGTATCATGAGACTCGTAGTCAGGGCTGTCAGCAGCTTTCAAAAACCCTGAGAAAAGAAAGAAATGTGAGCCCCTTCCTTTCAAACAATAGAAATGCAAGCCAGAATACATGGTACTACATCTGCATTTCTATACTGTATGGTCTTTGTTAGTCTACTATTACAGGACTTATTTGTGTGTGTGTTATGAGGCTTGCAGTTAGAACACAGTTAGGAGCATGTACTATATGCTTGCTGTTATACTGTTTCAGGACAGGTTTCTGTGTATGTGTCATGGCATTTAAAGTTGCAACATTATCCAATTTCTAGACTAAATTTTTGTGTGTTATCTACTGCTTCTTTAGATTTCTACATTTTGTTTCATGGGATATAAAGTTAGAATGTGTTCACATTTTTAAGTTGTCCCCCTGTAACAATAGAGATTTCATAGTGTTGATAGTTAGATTTCATGAAGGTTCACAAATGTTGCTCCTTAATATTCTGCTATTTTGAACCTGTCTCAGGTTTCTATACTATATTTTTGCTGTTGCTCTTCTGTTATAAGACAGATATCTGTTTCTGTGTTATGAGAATCATTGCTAGAACACACTCATGTTTCTGTACTATATGGTAAGTGTCATTCTATTGTTACAAGAGTGTTATTCTGTATTTTTGTTATAAGGCTTACAATTAGAACACAGTGAGGCTTTTGTTCTTTATGCTTGTTGTTACTCTACTGTTACAGGATGTCAGAATTTAAATATAATTCTTTTGCCAATTATTAAAATAAATGGCCTTTACTTATACTTCTTAATAGTATAAATGTATACTGTGTTGTTGTTGGGCTTAGGGTTCTTCTACAGTAGGTGTCTGTAACTTGTTAGCAATATATTCAATGATAAATGAACAGCATGCACTTCACTTGTTTTCAAAATAATATATTAAACATATGTACAACAAGTTCTTCACCTTATAGAGATTATAGGCATATCATAAACACTATATATAGTTCTCTTCTTCTTGTCAAAAGTTCACTTAGGCCTATTGAATTGCTTTAGAATTTCAGTTAACAAGCCGAATTATCTTCTCTATTCGTTTTACTATCACATTAGTATTCTATGTATGATTCACTTACAGTTGTGATGCGAGTTACCGTAATCGTTTGGTCTTCTTTCTTCAAAATATCCTCTGTTCCTTTTGTCCAAGTGCACTCAGGCTGGTTCAATTTCTTTAGAACCACGCTTTGATGGAATAAATTTTTCTTCTTATAATTTCCTTTTCTAGTGTTAGTCTTATACTAACATATTAAATGATAGGCCTATGTTAATCATTAGGCCTATTACTTCTATAGTATTTAACTTCACTGCAAACTTTTTCTTGCCTATAACTTTACTGTATTCTGCTATTGTCTGTCTTGGTGTTTTTGCTCATCTCACACTACTTATATATTTATCACTTAATCGTCTGTCCACCTTCTAGAAATCTCTATATTCTCAACGTCAGTGTATTGCATGAGACGTTTGATCGTCTCAACATCAATGACTTATAAACACAACTTCCTACAATTGTCTGGTTGTAACTCTTATTATAACAAAAACTAAACAATAATAAATCATTCACTCAGAAAATATGTTAACCAATAATATCTATACTAAACAGTTTTATAGCATGACACAGGACAGGTTTTTGTCTTGAGACTCACAGTTAGAACACAGTAATTTTTATGCACTATATACCAGCTGTTACTGTACTGATAGAGGAGGTATTTCTGTATTTTTGTTAGAGACTTATAGTTGACTCACTTTCTTTTCTGTACTATATGTTAGCCATTTCTTTTTTTGTTACAGGTCAGATTTCTGTGTCTGTGTTTTGTGACTCGCATTTAGAACACGGACACAGACAAGCCTTATAGTTGAGAAATGTTTTTTACATCCTGTATTTTTAAAAATATTTCTTTATCCTTAACTTTTGCTTAGTACAAACTGAAGAGATACTTCGAAAATTAGATGAAACTGGATCATTACAAAACAAAAACACAAATATAAAGGAACTTCTCAAGCTTTAGCATCTTCCTAAAATTCTCTTGATGATAGAACTAAAGATAAGACTGCTTTATTATATCTTGTCAAGCCTGAAGTCTACATACTTTTTGTAGTGCATTAATTTTACACTTGTAGAAGTTTGCTTTTGTGGGACCTTGTTTAGTTAAGCTTGACTTATTGTTTTCAAAACATTCTTTTGTAGCCCTGTGATATACTCTTCCTTTGCAATGTTATATTTGTCTGTTCATTATTTAGGAAATATACACATAAATGTTGCACACATTCAGTCTTCTGAAAGTATTTTACTGCTAGAATGTTTTAGTTTTCTGCTTTCTTAGTTGCTATGAAAATAAATTCCTGATAGAATATTTGATTTAGGGATACCCGGATATCTTCCTCTATCTGGTGTTTTCATAGTATGTTCAGTATTTGAAGGATTCTTTAAAATAAGAGCTATGAATTGTTTTTTTTTATTTCTTTTTTTTTTGGGGAGGGGTTGCTCACTTGGTAACCTCATGTATTAAAAGTTTTACAATAAAAACCATTTATTTTCACAAGGTTTCTTTTTAATACTAAACATTTTCACCTTATTCTTCATTTCAATTTGACTGTAGTAAGGCCTTCAGACAGGTTTTTATTGCTTTTCACTTAGATTGGTTAGCCCTGATGTCATTTGTCCATCATGTTTAACTTTCATTGTTACTTAGGCATAATTCCGATATCATTGTTATAACTTCTGTTGAAACCTTTCTGCAGGTTTAATTAGCATGAATTAACAGTATATCTGGATTTTATGACTTTATTACTATGTCAATATCCTTCCACTCATCAGCAAAACAATTTTTGCTGAGATATTTACTTGAAAGTAAAGTTCAATAGGGTTACAGTAAAGAATTTCAGTAGGGTTACACAATCAGATCTGGGTTTTTGTACTTTTGGTGATACTATATTTAAAAACTCAAGATTTTCACAGTTTATCAATAATGTACACATTCAAGTTTCACATTCTGTAATGCTGAAAGGTGTAAGTAATGAAATTGTGAGTTTCTGATATGATACCTTACTTCTGCTCACATAATAGCTTTTCTTGACTTGTGCTGCTTTCTATTTGCACAATTTTTGCTTGCCACTAGTCTTGATGCTCCCAACCAACCTAACATGATTACATGTGGTATAGCTGCACCGTGGCATGGAAATGAGTGTGTGACATCCCTCCACCAACAGAACTCCAACACACCCTCCTGGTGCAGCTGACTCCCTCTAGACTGTAGAGCTCATTCATCATTTCTCAATTGGGCATTCAAGCATACAATCATGCTAAAATTTCTGCTCAGTGCTTCATGTTATCCTGTTCATTTTAACTTTTTGTTACTGTATTGACAACTTTTGTTTGTTGTCATTTATTTTTTATTCTAACAAATTTTTTTTGGAAAGTTTTTCTTTTCTATATGATGAATTCTCAGCTTAATGTTAGTGCAATAACTTCTGATCCAGCCATTCTTAATACTACTGTGACTTCGGGCTGCACACTTTTGGCAGAGGAGGTCTCAGCCTTGATGCATCATGAGCTAAAGTCTTTCAATCGGGCCTGCAACATTTCCTGAGCCTTGGTCAGATCTCCCATTTCTTGGGGAATGCATTCCTGAAGATGAAGACTTGGACAGCATTTTTTCACATTTTGTTTTTGTTGTTCTTTCCCAGTCTACTCCTCTGGATCTCCCTTGTCCTTCTACTGCATTTCTGGACATAATCTCTCAGGTTTGTTACTTTTTGTCTCTTTTCCCTGTTTCTTTTGATTCTTTCCCCCTTCATTCTGGTCCAGTGTCAAATTGTTTGGTTTTTCCTACTCCCCTCATATTCATGTCCATGCTGAACAGTTCCTTACCCCACTACATTCAGGTGCCAATGTGCCCCAGCCCCCATGTTTGGCTGACTTAGAAGCTTTAGCATATCGTAGATCAGAATTTTCATTTCTGGATTTTTAGACCTTCGAATTGCTGATTCAGACATGGGGCTCTGATCCTGCTACTACCCTATGTTTCTCCCCAGCACAGATCTCTTGTCTTTGTCTTACCCTCACTACTGTCCTCCATTATCTCTCATCTATTCACCTCACATCTGAAGCTATCTATCGTTTCCCTGGGGGGTTTTCTGCAGCTCTGTGTGTCCTTTTTTTCTCTACATTTGTGTTTTATTTTCCTCAGCTTTAACCCTCCATATGTGGCTGCTTTGTTGTTGGGATCTTCTTGGCAGGGGTGCCCTTTTGTCACCATGAGTCTGCCTGCTTCCTATCTGCAAGATCTTCAACTGGCTCGTTTCTTGTGCCAGTCTGTTTTTGATGATATCCCTGATACTTTAGTGTTTTGGATGGAGGCTGCATATCAACATTCCTCTTTCTTCTCCTTTGTTTCCAGTCTTTTCCAATTCTCTCATGCTCCTATTTCACAACCTCCTGCATCCTCCCCTATACTGGTACCACCTTCCTGTGTTTCCTCTGTGAGTTGCCAGATTTCCCGTTATTGCATTTTCTGATGTCAGTATCGTCTTTGGCTACCTTTTGGGTTCCTGCAGGTTTGCTCATCTGTGGTACCTTTCTGCAATGGATTTTTGGATTCTTCAGGTTCTAACGGAAGGACTATTTCTTTGTTTTTCTCCTTCATTAGGATATACTTTCTTGCCATCTTCTTTCAGAAGTGGTTCAGGATATCTTGAGGAAGGATGCTGTTGGATAGGTGTTTCACTCTTCTCTATATCTTTATTCCTGTCTGTTTTTGTTCCCAAGAAGATTGGGGATTAGCATCCTGTAATTGTAGTCTCTTACATCAGTTGTCAAGGGGTCATCCAGTCTTGCTTGCTTTGTTTTCAAACACTGAATCTCATTTTCTGGGCCCAATCTCAACAAGTTCATCTTCTTGCTCATCCCATCCCAAATGCTGTAAATCTTGTGACAGATTGGCTCTCTCATCCTGATTAGATTCTACTGACAGAGTGGTCCTTTGCTCTTCAAATGTTCTGGTGAATATGCTCCCAGCTAGGTACTCCCCTTCTGGATGTATTTGCCACCCAGTTCAACACCAAACTTACCCTCTTCTGGTCTCCAGTCCCACATCCTTTGCCTCTAGTAATGGATGCATTCAGTCAGGATTGGACCAATCTTTATTTTTATGCTTATCCTCCCATCAGTCTTCTTCCCTATGTTCTCTTTCTTATACAAACACTCTATGTCAAGTCCTTTTCACCCCATTCTGGCTATTGCAACCGTGGTTTTCATTCTTGAACCTCCTTCAGTCATCTCTTCCCATACCTTTTCCTCTTTCCCAATCTCCTCTCCAGCAACCTCAGTCCCCCATCTTTCATCCTGCTGTAACCACATTCTTGTCTTCAATGTGTTTTTTTTGTCTGGTCTCTTATGAGGAGATTCAGACTCTACATGAGTAGCCTTCCTTCTTTTTCACTTAGTCTGCTCTTCTTCTTTGCATTTTCCATTTCTGGTCTTTGCACGAGGACTTCTCACCATCCAAGTGTTCCCCACCTCTTCAACTTTTATAATTGGCTTTTTGACAATAGTTTATCTGTTTCTACTATTGCAAGCTATAGAGTTGCCTTATCCAATACTTTTTGTTTTTCCCATTTCTGGCATGTTTTTTCTTTTCTGTCATTTCTCTCCTGTTTTGCTACTCTCACCTGATTCGTCTGCTTTGTCCAGTTCCCCTTCCTCCATTGAAACCTTTGTCCACTTTCTCTTTGTACCATCACTCTCTCATTCCTTATTTCTTACTCCTCTTGGTGTGTGGACATCATCGGTCAGATGTTATTGCTATTGAAGTTTCCCATATTCTCTATCATACATATGTCCTTTTTTATCCAGATCATAGTTTTCTCCCCAAAACATCAGCAGCAAATAAAGGTGACATCACATTCAATCCTATTTCACTTCCATCCATTTCTCTTCTCTATTTATGTTCTGAACCTGATCATCTTCTTTGTCCAGTGCTGGCTCTACATTTTTATGTTTTATGTTGTGGCTTCTGTTCTTGTTTTTTATAACTTGGAACTCCTCCTCTACCCAGAATCTCTCTCCTGTCACACTTACTGGATGGCTCCATTAGCTCATTTGTCATGATTATGCATCATTATCTGAAGATTCTTGTCGCAACTTCCATTTTCTTTCACCAGATCTGTCCTCTCACCTTTTTTCTGATTACTTACTTCTGTCATCTTTTAGAGGAGATTGTGAAGGCTGACATGTGGACTACATCTGATATGTTTATTGTGCACTACCTGCATCATTTAGCTATCACTTTCCATCCATCACCATTCTCCGTACCCCATATCGACTCTGAAAAGGTGAGTTCTTACTTTTTTACCTCTTACCTTTACAATTGTCCCTTTCTACTTCTCTGAATCTTGCACTATGGCAAGTGGTGCCTGTCCAGGTATACTTAACTTTAAATCTGCACCATATGTCCTCACAGGTGTATAACACTCACTGAAGAGATGGGGTATTTCACAAGACTGTAGAGGTGGCCTTGCAGTATCGTGCTTCATAAATAAGGGCCATACCAAACTGTATGAACTTATGGGCTGCCAACATAACCCCTCACACATATGGTTGGTAGGGGCCCTCCTCCTACTGCAGAACAGATAAAAAAGTCCTGACACTGCCTGGTTTTTGACTGGAGTTGACCCACCAAATGCAATTTAACATGCCTTAGTCACTTTACACCATCTGGCACATTCAATTACAGATTGGATAAGTGTCTTTTTTTTTTCCACCCAATCTTGCAACATCTATCTATCCAGCAGGCAAAGAGTATACCTGGTACAGGTGAAGTGTGGTCTCCCACAAGTGTGTTCCCATACATTAAGGTATCACACTCCATAGGTTTTTTTTTGGATGCCTTCAGAAGAGTGCTAATTTAGATATCTTTTGCATTGTTCCCTCCACCATTTTAATGTGGGATTTAGCTATTATGTGAGAAGAAGTAAGGTATCGTATTGGAAGCTAACATTTTTCTACACTGAAAATGTATTTCCTGTAGGTACTTACCTCTACTCACACTTCGCATCCATCCTCCCCACTTCCAATGTATCTCTTTTTTTTGCCTAATTTCAAAGTGATGATAGTGCTCTACAATATGGAGGGGTCAGCTGTACTATGAGGGTGTGTTGCACTCCTCTTGGTGGAGAGTTGTCACATCCTCATTTGCATGCTAAAATGCAGCTATATCACATGTAATCACGTGAGGGTAGGCGGAAGCATCAGAGCTAGTGGGGAGGGAAAATTGTGCATATAGAGTTCAGCATAAGTTGAGAAAAGCTATTATGTGGGAGGAGGTAAGCATGTATTGCAAATAATTTTTCAGTATAGGAAATTATTAACTTTTAGTGTTATGACTAAAAAACTTACTATTTGTAATAAAAAAAATACATATAGTAAATCCTTTAGAATATTAGTTGTGAGTTTTTTTCATGGCTTACGCTACAACTTAAGAATATTAGATATCAATTATTTTCATGACTTGCACTATACCTTTAAAATATGTGATAGTTCATGGTGTCTTAATATCTAAGTGAGTAGAAGTATATATATATATATATATATACACATTTAGTGGCCATGTCTACAAGTGTTGCAAAACTAAAAATAGCTGTTAGAAGTCTGTCATATATATCTGATCTACTGGGTGTTAAAGCTGGTAAATCTGGTGGTCTTCGCAGTGGTCCTGGTGGTAACAAGATATGGGCTAAAGCTTTTAAAATGTTAGAGGTGAGTCTTGAATCTGGGAGTAATAATATGTTGGTCAAAAATATTTAAGTAGTGGTATGAATTTTAGTTCTAACATAAAAATATGTGGTTAAACATTTGAAATTACTAGAGAAGAACTGTAATTGTTAATGTAACGGGGTGTGGTTTAAAGCAACTTTTTTTTTTCATAAGGGTAAAATATGTAGGCTAGAAGATCCAGATTATTTTTTTATAGACCTGTCTGTGAAGGTAAAAATTGTTAGATTTGATTATTCTTAACTTTATTTAATGCAAACTAGAGTTTATTACCAGACATTTTTATAAATTTAAATAAAATAACGACCCATATCTCCAGAATGTAACTTTATTATTTCAATATTTTGTTATTATAGCTTCATCAGGTGCTATTGATTTTCTACCAGTTCACTAATCCATTTCATTTAACTGGATTAGTGAACTGGTAGGAAACTGATAACTCCTGATGAAGCTGTAATAGAGACATATTGAGCTATTAAAGTTACATTCTGAAGATGTAGGTCATTGTTTTATTTACATTTATAAAAATGCGCTAGATTTGAGTTCTGGTAATTAGAGGTAACTGACCTTTAGAATGTTTAATAGAGAATTCTGATCTTTCACATTACACATTTTTAACTAAAGCTTTTAGAATGTTAAAGATGAGTTCTAGTATTAATAAAACAAGATGTAAGCCAAAGTTTTCAGAATATTAGAGTTGAATGGTAGTTTGTGGTAACTGCACAAGCACTTAATCTACAAAACTTAGGATCTAATATGTGGAAGCACAGGTGTATTAGTTTGTCACAGCTGAAGAAGTGAAAGAACACAGCATTAAAATCAAAATCAAATGATTTCTTTATTGAGGATGAACTACAAAAAGATGAGCTGGTCACTAAGTTGTTCTTCTGTAACAGTGAAACAAAATCTTAATAAATGGAATGAGTTAACATGTGTGTGATAATTTACAGATAAACTGAATTTTGCTGAAAATAAGGATGAACACATTGGGGTGAGTATGCCAGACTGTGAATTTGAGGTTCTGTGGTTCACGTCCTGTTACTTCTGAAAAAAACCTGCTTCGCACTTTTGGTGTTGACATGAGTGCATTATAAAAATTGATGGTGGGTAAGTGTTGACTAGTTGCCTTCCCTCTAATCTATCATTTCAAAATTAGGGATGGCTAAAGCAGGTAGTTCTCAACTGACTTTGGACAAAATTTGAACAAACATTAGGATATCTTGGCCAGGAGAGACATACAAACTGCCTTCCTAAAAATTGGAAAGAATCTGATCTGAAAGCACCATACTGCATTCATAATGCATACTCTTTCTGTATCTAACTAATCAGAAAACAGGCACTGAAGTGGAAGTATATGTTTTCCATGTAACTGTCACAAGGTAGACATCTGTGTACTAAATAAAGTAGGATACATAACAATTTCTCATGATGCAGCAGGTAAGTTTGTCAAATGGATAGACTTCAGAAAGTAACACCTCAGGCTGAATCTAAGATGTTCCAAATTTTAACTTAGAAAAATTCAAATATTTTCTGGGTAAGAAAAATATATATATACTATTAGAAAGTGAGATGTGAAATATTTATATACAAAAGCTTAAGTTTTCAGATTATTAGATGTGAGTTCTGGTCCTGAAGTAACAAGATTTGAGCACAAACCTTCAGAATATTAGATATGACTTTTTTTCATAGAATAAGAGATGTTTGTTTTTACCGAATATAAAAAGGTGAGGGCTTAAACGTTTAAAGTATTAGGTAGGAATTCTGGTCTTTAGGTAACAAGACAAGGCATAAAACGTTGGTACATTAAATGTGAGTTTTGAACTTGAAATAGAAAAGGTGGTGTAAAATTTCAGAACATTAAATATACTATCCATAAAAGTTCCCCAGTACTAGACTATATTTAGTTCTGAATTTAGATTTCTAATGGTCAGTTTCGTTTTAATTCATAATAAACAATCATTTCCTGTAGTTCCAATAATTTTAATCTATTCAATAGTTACAGGATTGTCACTACAAACTAGCACGTTTCAACATGTTTGATTTCTCCACAGGTCTTAGTAAACTATGCTCATTTACTTCATCTACCAGTCTTCTTGTAGTAGATCCTATATATACAGTACTGTGCAAAAGTGTTAGGACAAGATAATATTTTGTCATTCTTTCCATTTTATGGGACTAATTCTTTCATGCCATTACAGAATGTAAATGTCAACACTATGGTAATGCTTCACTGATCCCTGTTGATAATTAAATGAGCCAGGGTGAGAATACTTATCATTCTTTAGAATACTTATATATGTGTACCAAGGGCATGTTATAATGGTTCTGTTTGAATGAACATACTGATCAAATTTAGGGTCTGAAATAACTGTCATGGTACCCCATGCAGTGTCTTAACTATATAGGAAGAAGCTAGTATATGGTACCGGTATATGCTAGAAGAAATCAATTTAATAGCACACCACAAATAAACCTTGATAAAAACTGTTTAACACTATGTATTAAGCTTTACATGATGCTGGTTGGATAAGTTGTTGCAGACTTGAAGTGCTCCCCAAACACTGTCAAGTACACTCAAGATCGTGAGACTGAGACAGGTAAATTTGAAAATAGTAAAGGAAGAGGCAGAACACCTAAACTCAATGATACTGATGTTAAGTATCTTCATTTATGCAGCCTTCGGAACATAAGGAAGACTGCCACTGATCTCAAGCACGAGATAAACGTTTGTCAGAAAAGTGTCCAGATCTACAGTATCAAGAAGACTCAATGAGAATGGAATATTTAGTTGTGTAGCAGCTAAAAAAAACCTTTACTTCAATCTCCAAGTATTGTCAAGAGACTGAAATTTGCTAAAAAGTACAAAAACTGGAGTTTGATAATTGAAAAAGGGTTGTTATGTCTCTGTGTTCGTTTCTTAATTTTCCATAGAAATTCTTGCAGAAAAACTTCAGCAATACAAGTCCTTCCTTAAATAAAACTAGTGTATTCCTTCTCAATACAACTTAGCAATACACTTAATTCCCACAGTCAGTTAACTTAAACAAATGCTATAATTCACAACGAACGATTCATGCGCTTGAATCAGTTGTCCGTCTCTGTCTGCAATTCAATTCCATTGTTGCTGTCACTTCTTGGCGGTCTTATATACAAGAATACCGCACATCTAGTAAACACTTGAGCATTCACAAACCTTCGAGAATATCATGATGTGTTACTAGCATCACGTGACTTCCGCTGTCGTAACAGGGTGCTATGGATGGATGAATCCAAGTTTGAAATATTTGGCTTAAGGAATAGGTTGTATGTCCAGTGGAAGAAAGGTGAAAGACTTGCCATAAAGCATGGGGGAGGCAGTGTGATGGTGTGGGGATGTTTTTCTGCTGAGGCGTCAGGAGATATTTGCAAAATAGATGGAATAATGAACCAGCACAAGTACCATCAGTTATTAATCCATTATGGTATACCCACTGGTTTGCATGTTATTGGTAAAGGATTCTACTAACAAGAAGATAATGACCCCAAATACTCATCCAACCAATGCAGAAATTACTTAGCTAAGAAAGAAGCTGCTGGAGTCATTCCAATGATCCCACAGAGCCCCAGTCTCAACCCAGTTGAGTAGATCTGGGATTTGATAGATCAAAAACTTGACAAATGAAAAGTTACTTCCAAATAAATTTTATGGGAGTGTATTAGAGACATTTGGAGTAAAATCCCAAAGGATACTTTGATTAAATATGTTGCAACAATGCCTGAAAGACTGTTTGCAGTTAATCAAGCAGAAGTGGGACACACAAAATATTAACTGTTTCCTGAACTCAAACATTTCCACTGAGTTTCTGTTGCACTAAATATGAAGATTAATAAAATTTTGATGTTTCACCTCTGACTTATCTTCCATTATTCTTTGAAAGTAGCCTGAAAACTAATTTTTGACTTTATTCTAACACTTTTGTACAGTACTGTACTCTAAAATACTTGGAACATTTATACATATAGATGACATTTGATTGCTTTGGTTTGCTTTTTTGTCTTTAAATACAAAATAATTCCTTATTCTAATGATAGACTTACTGATGACTCAAAGTTCTACTTGCAGGTAAATGTTGCACAGTAGTCTTTAGTTGTTTCTTTATTTTCAAGGCATGTTTACTGGTGAAACATAATGTTATATGAAGAGTATTTTTTTGTCACATTATATACTCCCTCTTTAGGGGTGGAACCTTTCCTCATGTACTTGTTGATTATACAGGTTATTACTTTTATTGTAAAATCATTTTTACTTAAATAACATTTATTGGTATTTTTTTCTTTTTGAAATAGTTTTATATTGCTGGTAAGTTTATGAGCTATGTATACCAAAAGTCTAATTACTTGAATATTCAGTATTTTTCTTGTTACCCTGAGTATTGTTGAATGATCGTGTCACGTAGTTTAGAGAAAGTTTGATGTCTCAGTGAACAACATATAAATATAGATGACCAAGCGAGCACAAGTCAAGTGCAGTTCAGCCAGAAATTAGTAAGTGAAAGAAAACATGAAGTTAGCTGCTGTGTGAGTTATTAGCTATAACGGTTGATATTTTAAAGTGAGTTTCACAGTATAATAGAGATAAGGAGAATAATTTGTCTTGTCAAAGGGTATTCTAAAGTAATCTTAATCCTCAAGACTCTACCTTCTTTTCTATATCATTTAAAGTATAGTTTGATAGGTTTATAATGACCTCAGGGCTTATTAACTTGTTGGATTTTGATTTAAATTTTGAAATTTCTTATTCTTTATCAATCTTGTTTTTAAAAATTTATCATTGTTCTTTATTATAATTTCATTAGGTACGAGAAAACCTTGTGCTGGTATTTAGGAAGAAGTAATAGACAAAGTTTTAGAAATAGAATAAGAATATTGTAGTAAAAAAATGTATAGCAATATGATATTGTTTAGTTCTAAATAAATTCCATCAGTAGTTAGACCTGATTAAAGATTTGATAATGTTTACACTTTCGTGTGTTATCGTGTGATGAGAAAGACAGTAAATGTAACCCTTTTTTTTTTACATTTTATAAAAAAGATTAACAATGTGTGAAGACATTTAAAATTATGACAGTATTTTGAGTTAAGTAAACATGCAACAATGAGTAAGTTATTTAGGCAGGTGATATAGCTGGTGGTACGGATGCTTTACGTAAAGAGCGGGAGAAGTGGCTAGATAGTCCAGACCATGTGATGAGAGCTGCACGACATTATGAAGGTGCTCTTCAGGCTTTGATTAGACATGCAGTAATGTCTTCTTATGAGGTTAGTCGAATGTAGTTAATTAAGTATTGTGGGAGAAAATTAAAATATTTTGGATTATATTGTGATGTTGTCATATTAATAATTTATGTATGGGGACTTTATTCTTTTCTCTGATAGTTATACAACAGTGTTTACTATCTACTTTATTTTACTATCTTTGTTTCAAAGATATAATTAACAAAACCACAAGAATTGAAATTTAAGTTGCACTATTGTTTTCTCAATTTCAATATTTTGGAACATTGCATCATTAATTAGCTTATATAGGACTTTACTTTGTTAATAATAAATATGTAGGTTAAGTAGGACTAAATATAGTCTATATAGCCTATATAGGCAGCTCAAGTGCAACAATGCGAGTTTAATAATAATAAATATGGGGGTTAAGTACAGCATTACATCATTAATATTGATAAGTATGTGGCTTAATTATGACATTATATATACAACTTAACAAGAGCAGTGACTTATTAATAATAGATATATAGTACATAAATGCTCTGTACTGAAAAGGTAAGAACAGTTTAATTAAAATATCTAGGTCAACTTATTAGGATTTGATCTGTTCAAATTTTAGTGACAGTGTGTTTGATTTATAAGAAATATGGAACCATGTCTTAGTGTGATTTTAGCAAGGAAAGACATTGAAATATGTAAAATTATTTTCATTTTTACTTTTCTGGAGTTTTCAATCAAGTGATTTTTTGTTTTCTTGTACATTAACAAGACCCCAGTATGGAGACTGTTTAGAAAAATTTTGATTCTTCATGTCTTATACTTTTTCTCTCTCTCTCTCTCCCTCTTTTTTTCTATATGCAAGTTGTCTGTTATTTTCTAGCAGGTTACTAGTTACTTCATTTAATTCATTGTCTTTGCAGATGTGACTTAATATGTTTTTTAACTTGAGATATTAGTTTTAAAAATTTTATATTAAAAGCAAGAATTTTATAATAAATGTATTTAACTATCTATGTTTTTCTGGGCTTTATTGTAAAACTTCTTACTTTCTTTGCTATTATTGGATCCTTTAAGTGTTTTATTCAAGAACTTCTGTGATCAGATAATATGACCCTTGATTGAGTTGAGCATTGCAATTTTGTTTGGACAACAAGATCTGCTTGTCTTTTTCTTAGTTTTTTCCATAATATAACATCTTACCAACTTGGTAAATTATTAGCAAACATCTTGTGTGGTATTTATTTATTTGTGTTTTCATGAAGGTTTACATCAGAAAGATTTTCCATTGTCAGTTTTATCCATACTGTTGTAGACAGTAGTTACTACAACATCATTTATAGGCTTAATTCTTTCATTGTAGACTTTAACTTTAATGTCAGATATAAAATTACTACTTATATTAGAAACAAATGTTCTCTGTAATATGAGCTAGTTTTACTGCTTACATTGTAGGCATACAAGCTTGCGTTTCGTGAAAGTGATGCAATACTCTTAGGTAAAAGATGAATAAGATAGGTCCACTTTATAATGAGATAATCGACTAGGAAACATTATGAAATAATTACAAACTTCTTTGAAACTAACCTGGTTTATAACACAAACCACAAAGTGTTAGTGTATACTTGTTTTAACATGAAGGACAATCACCTTTATTAGAGAATTGTACAAGTTGAACAAAATGTAACAGTCTGAGAAAGCCTTATGCTCTATATTTATAATCTATAACATCATACTTTCTCAGAGTGAATAGTGCTACCCATGTGACTAGTCATTCCCATCAAGAAATAAGGGAGATTGTTACCTTAATATATCACCTAATCTTCCATTGGAGAAAAGTACTATTCACTTCATTCACTAAATGCAACTTTACAGCTATATTTCCAGTGAGCAAGCCAAGTTTTATTTTGGGGGAAGCAACAGAGAACAGTAGGTAGCTCGAGCAAATTGAACTTAATGACTTTCTTGACTACCATGCTATGTGAAAACTTCATATATCTAAAATAAACAAACATTTTTGAAAATGTGTCAAATAAGAAGGTATAAAATGCATAGTATGCCTGCTTAACACATTTTTCCACCCTTTTCTATTTCAGGCTTATCTTCAAGCCAAAATAAATTTTAAACTTTTAAAAACCAGTTGAATTGGTCCAGGGGCATTGTAATATTCTTTTTCCCTTGTAAATAAACACTTACATTCAACAAAGACGCATTGGTAGTAATTACATAATGAAAGAAACTAACAATGATACATAGTACATAATTACAAATTATAAAACAAAATGCTCTTTCACAATGAAAGAATTGTTATATCACAAAAGAGAAACCTTTAAACAAAGAATTAGTACATAATAAAAAGAAAACCGTAATTTAAAGACTTCAATCTGACATACACACAATACAAATGCCCTTTAACTCTTATCTGTTAACATGGGGACTGATTTTTAACAATACTTTTGCTCTCTTATTCAGTCAAAGATTATTGGATTTTGATGAAACTTTGTGGACATATGTAGAGTATTATTTCTCATTGTCCTGCCAAAAATAGTCCATGTCCATTGATAAAAATGGACATACAGACACATTTTCATGTTTTTTGAGGACTGAATATGATCAATGCTGCATGGTGGAAGTATACACTTTACTTAGTGCCCCTCTAGTTCCTATTAAAATTATGAAATTAAAACGTATAATATTAAAATGTTATTTATTAACTACATTTTGATGCCATATTTATTCATATATCTTGATAATAAAGTAGATTAATTAAATTTTGAATATAACTCTGTAAAAGGTTAACCTATTTGTTGCAAGAGGGTTAACGATAATTAAATACAAAAATACATTTGTAAAGAAAACCATTGGGCATTGGTAATTACATCATATGTGTCAAAAAAAGAAATGAACTTTAAACTGACAGTACAAAATCAGAATTACAAAACTGTATTTATGTATGAACATATGTATGCGTGTGAGTATGTATACATGTGTTTATATATATATAACCAAAATATGAAATATATTCATTAGAAAAGAAAACCTATCCATCATCTTGAACCAATGACATACTGGGCATTACATCTGCTGGTACGAGCAATGCTAGTTTCTGGAAATCAAGTGGAAACCACACAATTTAGTCTGTACATTATATGGTGAATGTCACATGAGAACACAGAAAGCAAGTAACACTACTTCCATTCATCCATATTACGATCTTATCTGCAGAATCATAAATGCTAATCCCAGCCATATTGATCAGTGGGCTAGTAGTTGCTGTTCAGCAGACTCTCAAAACTGTCTCCTGCCTATAACTCCAGAGTTTCATCATCTAATAGCCAGATAAATACTTTCAGCTCTTTTCTCCTCATTGGAAGAGTTGGTGTGAAATGAGACAGCCTCCTCCCTATAACTCCAGAGTTTCATCATCTAATAGCCAGATAAATACTTTCAGCTTTTTTCTCCTCATTGGAAGAGTTGGACAGCCTTCTCATCTTCTTCTTATTCCTTGTTAAGCCAGTCTATGAGAGATCTGTCTGAAACATACAGATGCAGATTATCAACATGTTCCACGAGGTTTTGCATGAGTCACATCTGCTGTAACTCATCTCCAAGCTGATAAATCAATTCCTTCACCATCTTGTCATAGAATTGCCTCTGATTTATGGTGGCATTTCCTAATTGTTGACATACAAACTTTTGTGCATTAAGTAATGCAGACCTTAACTACTCCACATATTCTTGAGGATATTGTGGGACATTTGCTCTAGGAAAGGAACATGCATCACTTTGACAAGGAGGATAATTTTTTCTTCTGAACATGAACATGTTTGGCAAACAACTTGTAGATACCTGCCATCAAATGTTTGGATGCATGAGCATTTTTACATCTTGGTCTTCTCCAATTTAAGTGTTAAGCAATGTCTTGAGAATCTTGTGCATTAAAGCCCATGGGACTACTAGCTTCCACACATGCTGAGAACTGTGCTTAGTGGATGATGATAACAGTACAGTACTCATAACTGACCATGCAAGTGCCACAGGTTACATGCATCTGTGCTACATCCATTGATCAGTGCTGACTGAACTTCACCTTGCTGCATGGCAAAGAGCATCCTTGCTAGATAAAAGTCCTTCAATTGCTCTTTCAACATTGTTATCTGATATCTATCATCCCTTCCAGATTTTGAAGGTTCATTAACCATTGCAACAAAACATGGTCCAGCTGGACATTTAACCTCCTAACATATATTTTAAAAGTATTGCAATGGGAAGCAGTTCCTTCTTTGTCATACAATATCTACCTTCAAGAGCCATGACTATATGAGTAGTGTATGCATTTACAGATTCTACTCCATCTTGAAACTGTGATAACACTGTTTTGATTCCATTATCATTGGTGTCATGTCCAGTAAGGAGAATTTGCAGTCTTGTCATGGATATGCTAACACTGGAGTCTGCACTAAATCATTCTTAGGGACCAGAATACTTGTTCACATTCCTTGCTTCATCCAAAGTACTTCTAAGTTTTAGTGAGAGTAGACAATGGTGCTGGAATATGGGAGAAGTTACAGATATTATTGGTATATGTTGCAAAACCAAGGAAAATGTAGGTTGAGGTCAGTCTCTCTCATATTGCTGCTATTGTAACAAGGCCCATAGTGGATCTCCATCTCTACCTACTATTTACCAAGAATTTCCACTTTCCTGGTTTCAGATTCAAGCCTGCCTTTTTTATATTCCAGAATACCTTTTTCTGCTTCTCAGTTGCAACCAAATGCCAAGACATTGTTGATGTAAACTATGCATCTCTCCCATTGCAACCCCTTCTGTGTAAGCTCCATTAGCCTCTAGAAAGTGGCAGGTGTTACACAGGCCAAATTGCATGATTCAAAACTCAAATAAGTCACTTATGCTGAAAGCAGTCTTAGGCTTGTTCTTGTCATTTGGATCAACTTGCCAATATCCAGGAGCCAGATCTAAAGTGTTGAGCTTACAGGAACCTTTCAGTGCATCTAGACATTCATCCATTCACAGCAAGGGAAAGG